GTGGTCCATCCCGAGGTGGTGGTTTCCAACACTCTCCTCCAGCACTGTGCTGTAGTCATCTCCCACTGCCCCTGTCTAACTCTGGGCTTACTCTACTTCTGGCACTGACGTGAGCTGGGCTCCTGTGGTTACTCTGATCCTCTGAGGATAAGGAGACCTGTGGGCTAAAACAGACCCAGACCTGGAAACAACTTGTACCAGAACCTGAGGCATGCAGCTCAATGCACAATAGCTAATACACTGAATCTACCCAAATGCCAGTCAACTGAAGACTGGAAAAGAAATTATGGGATATATATACTGTGGAATACTACACAGCAGTAAAAAAAGAAAGAAAAGAAAGAAATCCAGTCATTTACAACAAAATGGATGCATATGAAAACATCATACTTAGTGAAATAAGCCAGTCCCAAAGGGACATATATCATATGTTCTCCCTGACCTGTGATAACTAATAGGGTACCTAAAAGGCAATCTATAGAAGCGAAATTGACACTTTGAGAAGCAATGACTCAAGTAGCCCTTGTTTTGATTGTTGAGAAGCAGTTTTTTAATACTATTTGTTGAACTCTTTACTTAACATAGAGTTAAACATACATGTATAAAGTCAATTGAAAATAGATCTCAGTAAGAAATAAGAATGGGAATAAGAGAGGGAGGAGGAAGAGGGTTTGGGAGTATGAGTAGGAAGGTGAGCATGTTGGGAAGAATCACCATGTTCCTAAAGTTGTAATTATGGAGTGTATGAAGTTTTTAACTGTATAGCTGTATAATTATGCATACATTCCTACAGACTTACTTGCAAGGGTACAGTTTAAAAGCTTGAGATGGGACCCCAGATCCCCTTAGGCTGGGTGGTAAAAACCATTTTAAGTGTTAAAGGGGTCATATGGATAGGATTAAGGGTCTGGTAGTAATAATAGATAGAATTTAAAGGGAATGAATGTTCCAACATGGGAAGCAGTGCACACAGCAGACTCATAGAATTACAATCACTTTAGATAGCCATTCTGACCTCAGAATCAACTCTTAACGCATTCTGGTCTTGCTGAAAAGCCCATGAGAGCACTTCAGGCATGGAAAACCAAGGTACTGTGGCAAAAAAAAAAAAAGTCCTATATGAAGGACCTCGGTGGGTGAGACCCAGTGGAAAGAAGTGGTCATCAAACAAGGAGGTACTTTTCTCTGAAGGGAGGAGAGAACTTTCACTTTGCTTATGGCTTTGTCTAAATACTGGTAAGAGACTGTGGATTCTAAAGGCTTCCATAGCCTAGGCAGCACATGTCAAGAACCTCAGGTGATCACTGACATCATAAATAAGAGTGTGAATTGTTAATTAACAAGAGTCACTGTATATTAATTTCCCATGTGGGACCTCTGTCCTCAAAGAGTTGTATTATAATTATGTCTAGGTGCTCACAAAAGATGTAACATTCTTGGGTGCTTCTTTAAAGTTAATTAAGTTTCTTTTTTAAAAAAAAAGGAAGTGAAATTAACTTCAAGATGCAAAATGACTTTGATCAGCCCTTGTCTCATCTGTTGAAGAGCAGGTTTTGTTTCTTTTCTGTGCAAATTGTTGAACTCTTTACTTAGTATAGAGTGGTCTTCTGTGTATAAAGTTAATCGAAAGTGGATCTTAGTGGAGAATGGGACTGGGAATGGGAGAGGGAGGATAAGGAGGAGTAGGAGTGTGGGTGGGAAGGCAGGTATGATGGGAAGAATCACTATATCCCTAAAGTTGTGTTTATGAAATGCATGAAGTCTGTACTCCTTAAATAAAAGGTTTCTTTGGGGGGAAAATCAAACAAACAAAGAAGCAAAAGATAGAGAAAGCAAAAAAAAAAAAAAAAAAAAAAAAAAAGCCTAAGGCAGCTGCAGCCAATGGGCCCTTGTTGCTGCCAGGGGTTCTGCTTCTCTGCTCATTTGCTCTGCATCTCTCGTGCTCCTGAGGGGCCCGTGTACCCTGGAGTTTTAGTGGATGAGAAGGAGAGCTGAGCCACAGTAGGAGTTGCTGTCCAGAGTGTGGATGCCTGCCTTGGGTCAGGAGTGCGGCTGGATCCTGTTATGAGACGTGCACTGGAGGTGCCCCTTGAGTAGCAGCAGGGGAGAGCTGCTTCCGTCCCCAAAGCTGCCTGGCAGCCCTGCCACAGCTCAAATGTCCCAGTGGTGTCCAGTTACTCCATAATCAACTTTGCCTACAATCTCTTACCCAACTCTCTGGAGTGAGAACCAATGCAATGCGTGTTGAAAAAACAGGAGAGGATGCTTGACCTAGCCATTAAGATGCCTGTGTCCCATATTGAAGTGCCTAAGGGGTCAGCATTGAGGCATAGCAGGTAAAGCCACCGCCTGCAGTGCCGGCATCCTATATGGGCACCAGTTCGAGTCCTGGCTGCTCCACTTCTGATCCAGCTCTCTGCTATGGCCTGGGAAAGCAGTGGAAGATGGCTCAAGTCCTTGGGCCCCTGCACCCACATGGGAGACCTGGAAGAAGCACCTGGCTCCTCGCTTCGGATCAGTGCAACTCCAGCCATTGTGGCCAACTGGAGAGTGAACCATCGGATGGAAGACCTCTCGCTCTCGCTCTCTCTCTCTCTCTCTGCCTCTCTTTCTGTCTGTATAACTCTGACTTTAAAATAAATAAATAAGTCTTAAAAAAAAAAAAGTACCTAGGATCAATACCCAGCTCTGGCTCTTGGCTCCAGCATCCTGCTAATGCAGACCTGGGGGACAGTCGTGGAGGCTCCGGTCATTGGATTCCCACAATCCACAGGGGAGACCTGGATTTAGTTCCTGGGTCCTGGCTTCAGCCCTGCCCAGCCTTGGCTGTTGTGGGAATTTAAAGAGAGAACCAGCATAGGAGCTCTCTCTGTCTTTATACCTCCCAAATAAGTAAATAAAAATTTTAAAAAATCGTCTCCCACAAAAAGTGGCATTACAATGTATAACCAAAAAACCCATAAAACAACTATTCAAATAAATAGAACATATTTATTTAATTTTTTGAATGGGTCACTCATTCATAAAAGCTGAACATTCCAAAATTGTGGAGCTGAAAGGCGTCAGTTAGTACAGGAATGATAGGAGGGTAGAGGCGACAAAGGCCCTTCTGGTAATGCAGAAAATTTTTTTAATCTAGATGGGAAACCCGCCTGGGCCAGGAGGCGAGTCTGATAAAGAAGGAGACATAAAGCATTTCCAAAGCAGGCTCTGGACTCGAGGCCATGTAGAAGGCCAGGTGACTGGAGTTGTCTGCGGCCAGTCTCGGGGGTGTGGTGAAGACAGCTCCCCTGACAGGCCCCAAAGGAGAGCTTTTCTTTGTTCTGTGAGAACTGTTTGACAAGAACATATATAAAATATAATTTATATATATTTTATAAATTATATAAACATATAATTTATATAATGTATATGTAATTTATAATATATAATATCTATAAATATATAACTTCCTAGCAAAAGAAAGCAGCGGAACTCTCTCTCCCCTCCTGGCTATATCATGGGAGTTTCTTTTCCAATAAACTTGTTTGCTGAATTTGTCTTCTCATGTGGTCGTCTGCTTCACACCTTGCTGCAGACAGAGCAAATTCCAGGGCCTCGCCTCAGAATCACGTACAGGAAAAATTATGTCTCCCATCTCTGTCCCTCATCTACAAGTGGCCACACCCCTTTCAAGACAAGTAAACGTGTATGTCTTTAACTCTTTATTTTGAAATAAATAGGGCCATTGCAAAACTAATAAAGAGAAGTCGTGGTGTAGTCACTATTTAAGACTGGCAGTCTAATCTAGCAGGAAATGTCATGAGTACATGCGCACACATAGTGTGTGGTGTTTGCACTGTTTAGCTCACGTGGTCTGGTGTTGTGCACACTTTAGTTCCTTGCTGTGATGGACAAAATGTTTGTGTCCTGATCCCTTACTCACATGTTCCAACCCCAGGGGGATGATATTGGGAGGCGGGGCTTTGGGAGGTGATTGGGTGGTGAGGGTGGGGCCTCACAAATGAGAATCAGCATCCTTATAAGAAAAGACACCAGGAGCCAACTCAGTGGTGCAGTGGGTTAAGCCGTTGCTTGCAAAGCTGGCATCCTATATGGGTGCTGGTTTGAGTCTTGGATGCTCCATTTCTGATCCAGCTCTCTGCTGATGGCCTGGGAAAAGCAGCGGAAGATGGCCCAAGTGTTTGGGCCTCTGCATCCATATGGGAGACCCCAAATGAGACCTGGAAGAACTCCTGGCCCAGCCTTGACCACTGTGTCCATCTGGGGATTGAAGCAGCAGATGAACGATCTCTCTCTCTCCCTCTCTCTCTCTCTCTCCCTCTCTCCCTCTCTCCCTTTCTCCCTCTCCCTCTCTTCCCAACTCCCTCTGTAACTCTGACTTTCAAAATAAACTAATAAATCTTAAAAAAAAAAAAAAAAAGAAGACACATCAAAGAACTCTGTCTTTGTGCTGCAAGAAGACACCTGCTTGCAAACAAAGAAGGGGCCCTTGCCAAACGGATTGACACCTTAATCTTCAGTTTCTCAACCTCCAGAAGTCTAAGAGCAGATTTCTGCTGTTGATGCCACCTACCCTGTGGTGTTTTTGTTATCCCAGCCCTAACTGACTAAAATATTTGCCTAAAAAAGGAAAGCCCTACTTCAGGTTTTAAGTTACTGCAATTAATCAAACTGTCATTTTAGTTTATCACTTGTTCTGGATGGAAGATTTTCTTTACTACCAAATGCAATCTTTTCATTATATGTTGGCTCAGACAGCATTTTTTTTAAAAGCCAAGGGCAGTGTTTCACAATCATGACATCTGAGAGGCAGGTCATCAAGAGCCTTTCCCAGAAATTAACTCTGAGATCTGAGTCGGTATCAGGAAATCTCTTCTTTTAAAAACAAATTCTCCTGGCAGGTCCTAACTTCAGGCAAGTCCAAGGCCCTTTGCTCCTGGGGAAAAGTTACATGGGAGGAAGATTAAATGCCTGAGTGTTTACTCCGATTCCAGCCATTTCTCTCTAAGCATTTATTGACCGAGCCTGCGATTTTAAAATGAGTGCGCTGGTGCCTGACCAAGCCCATACGCATGTGACTGCGCTATTTGCTCTTTGCAAAGTCCTCCCAGAGTTTTGCAGAGAGGTCTGTACTTTGGTCCTGCGCCTGCACAGACCTCACACCTAGGTCCCAGAGCCAGGCCCACCCCCACTCCCGCCTCTGACTGGGAGGTGAGCACGCTTTTGGGTCACCCTCCCGACCATGTTTTTCCTCAGTCCAGGCTTGGTGGCTGTCATCTGTGCTTTCATCCTGTGGATCTTTGATCGAAAGAGGAGGGAGACTCAGGCCAGGGCTGAAGCTTGCCCCAGGGTGGAGGAAGACTTGAAGGACAGCACTGACCTCCAGCAGGTGGAAGAAGGTAAAGCCGCCTTGGCTCTGTCACTGGGCGCCCCTGGGGTGGGGCGAGGGGACGCCACGGGGAGAACAGGCCAGCTTCGTCAACCTCCATTGTGCAAACAACCAGCTTAGGGCCAAGACCCATCATCCTTCTCAAGCGACCAGCTTGTCACCTGCAAACGCTAACCCCTCTTTGTTCCTGGGCCCCCACTAAGAAAGCTTCCGGGGGTGGTGGCAGCCAGAGAAAGCCACCTGCGGCAGTGGCTGATGTCTCTGGGAAGGGTCTCATCGCAGGCGGCAGTGGGCCTGGAGGAGTGGCCAGGGTATCATGAGGAACTTTGAAATCTACAAAGTGGCATCTTCCTAGGGTTTGCTACCTCTCACTGGGCCAGGCCCTGTGGGTTAGAGGAGTGGCCACTGTCCCAGAAAGCAGAGGCAGAGGCAGAGTGACCGCGAGACAAACCCAGTGGGCTGGTTATAAGGGGGTGGGTGGGTGACGGACGGAGCAGCCGGCCTGGAGGAGTCCCAGGATGTAAACAGGGCAGGAGGCAGGTCAGGAAGAGATGGGGCTGCCTGCGGGAGATGTGAGGAGACGGGGTGGGGAGAGAGGACATCGAGGTGCCCGGTGTTGGATGGAGGAGGCGAAGGAGGTGATAAAGGCGGCAGGGAGGGAGAAAGAGATTCTAAGGGAGCTCTGAATACTCTCTGTTCCCGAGGCTTTGAGCTGGTGCGTGGGACACTCCACTTGGAGGAGGCTCTGTGATTGTCAGTGAGGTGCCCACTCCCACACAGAGACCACCTGCAAGTGTGCAGGTGTGCGTGTGCGCAAGTGTGCGTGTGGTGCATGTATTTGTGTGCATTATGTGTGTGGTCCATGTGTGTGCTGCATGGTGTGTGTGTGTGTGTGTGGTGTGTGTGTATGTGTATGTGTGGTGTGTGTGTATGTGTGGTGTGTGTGTATGTTTGCTGTGTGGTGTGTGTGTATATGAATGGTGTATGTGTGTGTGCGCTATGTGGGGTGTGTGTGTATGTGTGAGGTGTGTGTGTGTGTGCTGTGTATGTTTGGGGTGTATGTGTATGTGTGGTGTGTGTATGTGGGGTGTGTGTGTGTGTGGTATGTGTGTGTATGTGTGGTGTGTGTGTGCTGTGTGTGTGTATGTGTGGTGTGTGTGTGTGTGTATGTGTGGTGTGTGTGTGTGTGTGTATGGGGTGTGTTTCGAGTTGTGCTGACCTCAGGACCGGGATGGGGGTGGGACTGCAGTGTCCTGCTAGCCCTCCGTGCTGGGGAGTGGTCAGGCAGATTGCACAGCACACGGTCCAAACACAGGCAAGCTCCTAGCCGGCTGCCTCCTGCTGCCCTGTGAGTGCACTGCAGGGCAGCCCGCGGGAATGCCGGCTGAGAACGTAGCCCGCTGGGAAGCACTTCCCTTGCAAAGGACCCGAGATGTGACGCTGTGTGCTGATTTATTCCAGGAGGGCCAGCCAGGGTGGCAGTGATGGTAGTGCAGTGGACGGGGTGGGTCAGAGTGAGTGCAGTTCAGAGGAAGAGGAGTGGGGGTGGGTCAGGAACTGGCGATTAGAGGAAGGACAGAGTGGGATCTGGAAGGTGAGTGGGCGAGGGGGAGAAGACCCCATCTAAAGGGGCAGACGCTGCGTTTCACGGAGGAGGGTGACAATGGAGCTGCTGGTGGCACATCCCGGCACGAAGGGAAGAGGGGGCGGCTTGGCCACACACACACTGGTCGGAGGGTCCCTAGCAAGGGGGCCACATTCAGAACTTGCAGATCTAATGAATCCTTGAAGTGGGCATTGCTAAAGGAGGCTGGGCACAGAATACAGGGACACCCACGGATACAAAGAACTGTGGCAGAGACGTGTCCTGGGACACAGAAGCCCCGGGAAGGGCCCCAGGACCAGGACGGGGACAGGGCCCCCCACAGCACTTCCCTAGAACTTCCCTTTCATCCTCACGACAGGACCTTAGGATTCCCCCATATGACAGATAAGGAAACAGGCTCAGATGGGGCGAGTCGCCTGCCCATGAGGGCAGCCGGAGAGGCAGGACCCAGGCAGTGGCTGCTGGGCTGCCTCTCCACCAGAAAAAGACCTAAAACACGATAGCAGGAGATGCAGGTGCAGGTTAAAAATCCCTGTGGCTGGAGGAAAGCCACTGCATCGGAGGACCCCTGAGGGCTGAGGATCTAGGAGGGCTTCGTGAGGCTCGGGAGGAACCAGGGACCCAGGGCTGGGGCAGAGGGCTGGGAACATAGAGCAGCTTTGTCTCTGAACTTGATCTCCCTCCGATGTGTTGGGTTGCCAAGACTCCTGGGAGACCTGAAGGCAGAGGACAGGTAAACACAGACGAGAAATGACTAGGAAGGAGAAAGGACTTGAAGACTTTATCCTCGACGCCAAGCCTGGGATGTTGGCGCTAGGAGAGGGGGACGATCAGCACGGGGCACTGGGATTCTACAGAGAGGCAGGAGCTCACCAAACAGCTGCTTTCCGCTTCGCTCTCTTGGTTTGTTGGGAGAGGATACAGATCTTATTCTCTGCACATCCTAGGCTCATGGCTGGGGCCCTTTTAACAAAAACCAAGTTAACAAGAGAAACACACAAACGTTTATTAGGTGTAAGTTTTGCATGACATAAAAAATGAAGACCTCAAGAAATGGTTTTATCTGTGTGCTAGGTTTGCTGAGCAGTGGATATGGTGGGGACAGGATAGGACCAAGGGCGTATGATCTAATCACGACACAAGGGTTTTCAAAAACCTCACAGAAATGCACATTGTGAAGGAACTATGCACGGAGTTTAAAACTTGCTGCACTCAAGATGATGTCTCAGTTCCATTTCTTCATAATTCTTTGAAGAGCCCTTGTCGACTGGGGGAAACTTAGCCACACCTATTTGTTCAGAGTCTTCTTGCTGTCCCAGTCTCTTCAGAGATAAGGATGTTTCTTTCCTCCAGGTCTGGGAAGTGCACCTCCCACATGAGGGTCTAATCATCTCCTGCAGGGGGAGATCAGGAAATTTTGCTCTGGTGTTCTGACCTGCTTCAGGGAATCCAAGCTTGGGAAGCCCGGAGACCTTGGTAACCCTAATGGTTTTCAATATGCCAAGGCGCCATCTTTCGCGGTATTGTGTCCTAGACCTCACCAGCTTCATTGTAGCATTGCTGGATTCCATGTCTCTCCGTCTGGGAACCTCCAGCCTTCCTGTTCCTAATTATGGAGAAATGTAGGGGTTCCTTGTATTACTGAAGTGGTGATACAAGGTGAGCTACTGTTGGCTTCATCAGCAACGCCCAAGTGAAGGCAGCAGCAGATTTCCATGAAAGAGCAGAAACTCTGCTTTGCATACGGTAGCCTTCGAACTTCAAGGAAACCCTAGTGGCTCCAACTGGTCTAGGGTGGAGGAGGCAGGAAAACAAAGGGCTTTGCTGAGAAGGAGAACGTGGGAATGCTCTCTGCCACATTCCTGGAGGGCAGTCGGGAGTTCAAGGGGAGGAAGAAGTGGTGCCTTTTGTATTTGCTCCCTGCCCTGCTGGGGTTGTGTCTCTTGGGAGCTCACTGGGCTCCATCCACAGTGTTACTGGAGTGTATCCTCTTGGCTCACATAACCTGGCTATTAATAGGCTCCTTCTCCACCTTATCTAAGACATTCTGTCTGTTGCTCAACAAGACCCAGACATGTGGGGCTCCTTTCAGCCTCTCAAACATGCCTGGGACACCCCCTTGCCCAGCCCCAGGCCCCATGCACAGAATCCCTCTTCTTGTTCCATTTGCACTTTGCATGCTGTCCCTTCTGAGAGGCCCCCGTGTCCTCCCTCTCTGGCCACCACTCCTTATCCTCCGTCACTACATAAAAAAGTTAGCTTCGTCGTAGGAGCAGTCACATTTTCTCATTCTATCCTTATAGACATGATCTGATTTGTTTAAATGAGAAAGAACATGCAAATCATTTCAGGTTGGTTCATCTACATATCCAGTAAGTGGTCAATAAAAACCGTGTGGAATGAATCGTCTACTTCTGCCTTCTTGGAAGACCCTGGAAGCTCTACTAAATGTAATGTGTATTATATACTGGGTTTTGCAAACCTACAATGACAACCTTGGGTTTTTCCCAAACTAATCACACCCACCAGAGGCTTTTATTCCGCTGAGCCATGCTCCTGCCAAGAGAACACCACCAACAACAAGCTCTACAGAAACATCGCTATTGGCATCTTCTGAGACATCTGAACGGAGAAAAGCACTCCGTTCCACTAACGTAAGGAGGTCAGCTTTAGGACTTGCCTGGCTTTCATGCTTTGCTGCACTTAGCCAACAGCTAACACCTGTGCAATCCGCGTGTCCACTGAGTTCACCCTGTTTACAAAAAATTACACTGAAACGAGTATTGTTTCCTCTTAAAGGTTAAATCCTCAATCCCACATGCTTTGAGGGGGCCAACACCCTGTCAAGGGTTTCTGAGAACTCCCTGAACTTTGTCCTTTTGGGGCCACACCTGGCTTGAGGCTGAAACCCCAGGGGCCCCTGGTTTTTTCCAAGTGCTGCTTCTTCCACCACACAGTGAACTGTGCTTGGGAATCAGCGCTGTCTGATTCCTTGAGGGATTTCTCCATTTTTCAATCCTCACACAGTGCATTCACATTTGGAACAGCCTCTTCTTCCTTCAAAAGCTTTTATTATTATTATTATTATTATTATTAGAGACATACACAATACATTAACACTGCTTTGCTAGGCATACTTTTAACTTCTATGATATCATCTTGATTTTTTTAGTCTCTGCATATGAGTAAAAGACATTTTTTTTAAAAAACAATCACTTGAAAAAAAAAATACGGGTGTTTGAGTCACTGTGTTGGGGGCTTCCTCTGGACCGTTCTCCCACGTCTACTCTGTCACGTGCTCAGGCAGAGTAGTCAAGGGCCTCTCCTCCAGGCTCATTCCTGTGCTCTGAAAACAGCGTGGGTCCAGGGACCCTGGCAGCATCGGGACGCTGTCCCGGCTGCAC